TAAAAGAATATATTTTATTAAATGTATATTTTAAATAGATATTTTAAAATGCAAGAAAAAAATGTACGTAAATAATTCAAAACCATGAATTTTGATTAAGAGTATTTAGTGTAATTTACATACAAGATATTTTGTTTTATGAGACAAATCTTAGTATTTTTTCACCCTAATAACATTTATGGATAACAAATTTTATTATAATTAATAGCTTGTAAAATTTATATTATTAATATTATTATTATTAATATTAAAAGTCAGTTTATTTAAATTTTACACTGCAATCGTTATTCGTAAAACAGACTACATGTACACTTTAATAGCATGTATTTTCTTATTTGGCATACAATCTTAAAATTAAATATTACATAATCATTACGAAATGAACTACATTCGTAAACATTGCTTATAATTTATGGTGTTTATACTATCGCATAAATAAAATTTCATCGAAAGTCAAGATTTAATTTTTCATTGTAACATTAATCGTAAATTACATTATATATGCGCATAACATACATTTTCTTATGTAGCATGCAGTTTCAAAATTAGACATTACATAATCATTGTGAAATCAACTAACGTTTGCAAACATTCTTCATAATTTATAGCACATACTATTTAAATAAATAAACTATTTCAAAATAACTGTATATTAAGAAATATTTACAAAGATGTTATTATTATTTCATAGAAAAATGTATATTAAAAATTGATCCAGGAGAACTTTGCTGCTTTTATTTATAAAATGTAATTTAATAATAATTTATCATCACATATAATGGAATACCAATTTCTCTATATTAAATTAGATCAAGGATTAGTAAAAAAACAATAGTAATATAATTATTTTCATTTATCTTTTATTTGAAACGAAAGTAATTATAATTTCAATTAATGTATACGTCGGTACTCTGGAGGAAACTATAATACAGGTGTTTAATTCAGAAAATGTTAGCAGACTATTCCCATCACAAATGTAAATCAGAGGAATGGCTAATTAGTAAAAGGCTCATATGGATTTCATTTCTGAGGTATGCGATGGCTTCTAAGCCATTTACGTTACAATGCAAATAGCTATTCTCCCCCGTTAACTTATTGTATAGAGAGAATATTTGAATGGTCTAATTATACGATATGTAGTTAATTTAAAAGTGTTGTTATTAATAGTTTTTAATAATCAGTATTAATTGTTTATTTTCCGTCGCGTAGATATCTACACGATGATAACATTTTTTTGTTAAATGAATCATATATACCATATATATAAAGCCGAAATCAATTTCATTCAATATTGAATATTTAGTTCAGTAATAAATAATTCATTCGAAAAGCGAAGCATAATATCCGCAAATACATACACAAATACATACAGAAACTGAGAAAATGCTTTTTTAATTTTACATGAAAATCTTCAACATTCTTATCAATGATAGATTTACGTATATTATCCATCATAAGAAGATTTCTGACATCTAAAATAATAAAGTGAATAGAGGAGAGATGATTGATCTTAGTTGAGATTGGCAGCGAATAAACGATGTTGAGAAGAACTGAAACTGACGAGGCAGATATTTTTCTAGATAGTATAGCCTGAAAAATTGTGAAAAAAGGGGTCCAAGACGAAGGGAATTTTCCTCATGAGAGGCATCTGGCTTACTCGACTGTAAACAGAAGAAATATGAGTCTTATATCTGGAAGCAAGTGTAAGCTTTTTTTTTTTCACTGATACAAAGATAAAGACAATGATGATAAAATGCCTCTTGTGTGTCGACACTCGGATTTTCCTCTTTGTTTAATACAGAAGTTCAAAACTTTAATTGCCACTATATTTTATTCATATCATACACACAGAATTTTCATTGTGCTATTAAAAGAGTAGAAATATACCAGAGAGGTAATATTAACTGCAAAACTCTATACTCCCTGACTCTTCATGAACTTTCTCTGTGTGCTTATACTTTTTATCTTCTCGTATTGTGGTGAGAGAATTATTGAAGATCTAAGTTTTTATCTGAGATGTAATGATCGTAAAAATCTACAACGTAAAAATATATGACTTTACAAATCGATTTTCGCGTAAACGCATCGTTTCTTTTAATCGTTTTTATACTAAAATAAACAAGTTCTTGGAAAAATGCATTGAGCTCACAACATTTGACAGCGCAATGCGCCAAAAGAGTCACGTATTGTTGAGAAAAACTTTTACAGGAATTATTTCGGTATGTACATACATACATACATATATATATATATATAAATATATAGTCGAAAATTTACTTTATTTTATTATAATACTTTTAATTTCTTTACTACATACCCTACTGTGTTACTTAATGTTTTTCATATTTCATAAACTTGGAAAAACATTTTCTTTCGTTAAATCTTATGGAAATATCCAAATGAGAAGGAAATAATAATAATACATGAGTGTCAAGCGAATCCCGGATCTTCAGTGAAAATTGAGTAATAGAATGATCTTATGCAGCGTTTTCACTTTTATTTAATGTTTACATAAGGTCAATGCACGTAAAATTGTTACAAACAACTTTCAGCGACTCTCACCAGCCGGCCGCGAAGTCTGTCGCGTTCCCGGGTGCATCGATAGTTTTTAAAGTTTCTCCGAATTTCCCAATCTGTCCCTCTTCATCATCAGTACGCCGTTGCTCTCATCTCCCTTCCTTTCTCGGAAAAAACGTCTGGCGAGATCCGGTTGTGGCTTATGCAACCGAGCTTTCTACGTGATCGACTGCATGTTGCATGCGCGGTTCCGAACCAGTCCTTGCTGCAGGAAGCAGGAGATCGGTTTCGAATCTTTGCTCTTGTTTTCGATGCACCGCGAAAGTATTCGTATTACGTGTGCCAGCATTGAATCTTTCTCTTTCAAGTTACACCGATGCCCTCGGGATTTTACAACCAGTGGTTTTCATTAAGGTCGTGGTGGCGATTTGGCACGGATTTTAATTTTATCTTTCTCTTATCGATTTACATAGATTATATAAATGACGTCGATAACGAAAAAAGCTTGAACATTTAGAATTAAAAGATATATGTATGAACAGAATTAAATAATAACGTTGTTATTTGATCTCCTCAATAGAATTTTTAAAGAAAGAAGGGATCATATTTTCATAAAAAGGAATTTCTCCGATGTCATGTACATTTCGATGTAATGTTTCTTACAATAATAATAACATATTATATATTATATTATAAAGGCTTGCGAAATATCACAATTTTAATTAACTGCGGATAGTCGAGAAATATATGTAGTGGGTTATCCGGAAAGTTGTTGAAGGAAAATTGAAACGCAGAAGATTTAAATTTTAGTATACATTTATTAAATTATATAGGTTAGTCGGCACGAACTTTCCGGATAATCCAATAATACGAGAAATATGAATCAAGCGGAACTTATGATATTTCGAATATGAATAGCGTTTGAGAAACGATGCTATAATTAGATAAACAAGCATATTTAGTATTATTAGCATATTAGTATTACTGCAAGGTTGACAACTTTCCTTAAGAATGCTAGTCATGCCTAATTAAATCGCTTAACTATCGAAACTATTTGTTTGAAGATAAAAATTACGAAATTAATTTTTTTGTTGATTGTCATGTTGAAGATTTAAAACAATTATTTGTCCGCTATACGCTTACATATACGAAATAAAAATTCTATTTCTATTTAACCAGATTTGCTGAATATTATCACAGATTTTTATGATTGCTGCATTTCAGGCAAGAGTCTAGGCCTGACGTAATCAATTTTATAGAGAAAATGTTAAAAAAAAAATCATCGTAATTATAGTGTTTTAAGCCAGTGCGAATAGAAGAGAATGTTTAGCAAATCGGTCACATGTTGGTAGAAGTGTTACGTGCTAACAATGCGGAACGCACGTGGGGTATGTTCAGCCTTCACACGCGGAAGTGAAAGTCAATATTTTGCGGGATAAGTTTTCCTCATTGATTCTCTCAAGCGCCTTCAAGATTTTCTTTTGATCGACTCGACTGAAGACCGTGTATCTGCAGTCGGTGAAGTGATTTTCATCCTAAACATTATTCCATTTGTCGATACCATGTACGCGAATTATAAAAAAATTTTGCTAAACAACTAGAATGCTATTAATTAAAATTTTTTAATAATATTATTTATTATTATTAAGTTTTAAAATATTACTTATAAGCTAAAGTTAATATTAATTATTAGAAAGAAGCTTGACAATGGCCCACTTTTTATTTTCGTAATTTTCTGATTAAATAGAAATAGAATTTTTATTTTATGTTTGAAAAAATTTATTCAATTTTTCAAAATTTATCCTGTATTTTTAAATTTATCCTGTATAAAATGAATTAATTTATAAAATGGATTAATTTATAGATCCTCTATCATTTCTACCAATTTTTGCAATTTATATAAATTTGAACGTTCTTTCTTAAGCATATTTCTTGAAAATTCATTTTTTGATAAAAATTTTTGTATGCACATACAATTTTTTAATTAATGTTGCAGTGAATTATTATCAGTAGATTACAATGATTAAATTATTTACGATATTTTATTTACAATCGCTGTTCTAAATTCATAACATTTTTTAATATACTTTTTAATATTAACAAGCATTAACAAGCATTTCATATTGTCAGTTTGTTTAAACATTTTGATTTTATATATCAATATGTTACAACAATAGTTTATTATAGCTTTAAAAACATATTTTATAATTAGAATTTTGATGACATTCTTCTGCTCTTTTTACCAAATCGGTTCTCGAGTCAGGATGGCCGAGCGGTCTAAGGCGCTGCGTTCAGGTCGCAGTCCACTTCTGTGGGCGTGGGTTCGAATCCCACTTCTGACAAACTTTTTTTTATGCTACAAAGCAGTGAGAATAAGTTGTTTTGTAACTGTTATTCGCAATGAAAAATTTCATGTTATTCATCTGCACGAATTTGTAAATTAAAAATTTTTGTTAGTTGCTTTATGTCAGTAATTAAATTCATTTAATCTGTAGGTATTTATTACCGATTAGATACATAGTTTCAATGTAGATGATTTTATATAATTTTAAATCGTGTATTATTTAAAACAATTCGTTGTTTACTTCAGTGCTTTTAGCAATGCTCAATTAATTTTACGATCGTTAGTGCGATTACTTGTGCTGAGATCTTTATCGAATTTATCAACCATATCAAGACGTAAGAAAGAGCCAACTATAGATCGAGCCGTGGATGCAGCTCTGCCAAGTCCACCCATGGAGCTTGTACTGTTGTTGTTGCTCTTGGAAATTTTAACAGGTTTTGTTACTTCAAAAATGTTCACAGCGAATTTTAATTCGGCAACTAGTGCTTCCCACGGCGTAATCTGTACAAAAGATGATAATTAAGTTTGTTTTACAATTTAACTTATAAAAAGAAGTAAAAATTTTATATATTGTACATTAAAATTTTGAATAATTTTCTTTATTAAAAGAAACAAAATTAATTTTATTTATTTTAAATAATTTTAATAATGAACATGAAAAAGTACAAATTTACCTTTTCTGTCACAGCAACTTTACGTATATTCCACAAAAATTCGCAAATTGCGATAAAGAATGAACCGCATAATCCATACATTAAAACAATGAATACACCTCCGACGTTTGCCAATCCTAATTCGGCTGTGTTTTCACTCTCTTCTTCATCCTTTGTGCATAAATTTCCTCCTTTTTCTTTCCACCATTTATCTTTTAATTTTCCCAGTTTACCTGACTCTCCTAGCTTTAGGATCGCAGTATTAATCGCTATTCTATATGCAGAATCTGTATGGAAAAGATGCAAGAAAAATAATTTATATAAAGATAATAAAATAGAACAAATATTAGATGTATTCAAAGAAGTTATAATATTACTGCGCGGCATAGCTATGCCATAGCCTTTGTTATCAATTAAGCCCCCGACTTTAATTAATTCGCACTTCCGCTCTAATTGATATTCAATACTACTGGATTCCATGAAAAAGGCATATTGTCCTTTAGTCTTGATAACTCGTTCGATACCTGGAACATATACAATACAATAAAGAGTCTAACAGCGTTTTCTCTTGAGATTCTCACTGGATGCAGCCTTCGCATCGCACCAGTTACGTGTAAACGCTACACCAGAGTGGTGCACACCATGGTGTATACTACATTATTGGGCTAAAATCTTATTCCCGCTTGATTTCCATTTTCAAATTTTAAATGTCTACTGATTCTATACTATCCCTTTGACTGGTATAGCAATCTTACTTCGTGCATAAAATTTGCACTACACCGTAGCACGGAAACACAGTACATTAAATGAGTTCGCTTATCACCAGCCATGGAAATACACAATACACTGTCTGAGTGTTGCACTAGTGAGCGATAGTGCAGCCAAGAGAAAATATTATAAGAAATCGAATTTAAGAGAAAAAAATTTGTTTCTTCGAATAATGTAACTCTTTTAAAAAAAAGAAGTATTCAAATTTGATCATGGAATTGCTCACCCTCTTTATTATTTTTTGTGAATACAGTTGGCCTAGCTTCTGCCATTGCACTCCACATTCGTTTATACGTTGAATAATTTGATTTCTGCAATTGGTTATTAAATCATATTTGCATATTATTTTTATATTGAGCTAAATATGTTGCTAAATAAGCTAACAAACTTCAAAAAAGGTTGACGTGGATCCACCCTCTTGTGCGCCATATTTAATTTTTGTCTGCTTAGCTAAATCTTCAACATTTTTAATAGGCGTATCCATCTTGTCCATTGTGAGAAAGGCAGCTAGATTCGCTGTATATGAACTGATCATAATCAAAGTGAAAAACCACCACATGCTTGCAAGCATGCGTAGAGACGGTGCTCTGTAATGAAAGTGATTTTGTTTTATATATTATTGTATAATAGTTTAAAACGTCGAAAGAGAAACCAAATCTAATTATAATAATCACAATAACATTAAAATAGACATTCAATAGATCAAAAACTCGTATTTATATACAGCATATTTGAAATTTGTAAAATACAATTAAAATTATATTAGTTGGAATAATTATTAGGAATCATACTCTAACTGAAAATGACACAAAGCATACATAAATAGGAAAATAATTAATCCTTGATTGTTGCGTAGAACTCGAGAAATCGTCGTGCATGACAATATGAAATCGTTATCGGACAAAATCAAAGGATCACGCGTTTATACGGACAACAGGAGTGTCTGAATCTCAGCAGGAAGAAATCGCAGTAGTGGCACAGTTAAAAGCGATTGTCGGCGCTTATGATTTTTAATGCGCATGCTATTGTTCGAAACGCCGCCGCCGCCAACACGTGATCTCCACGATTTGGCCGATTGGCTAATCCGGAAAGAAATCGAGGGGGATCCTGACAGCGCTGAATTCATTCGACCGGTGATCAAATCAGAATGCGGATCGTGTACGAATATACTGTTTAAACTATGGAATATTATTACGAGTCTATCTTACGTATGTGCAAGCGTGATCGCGACTCAGGGTTTCCCTCAGACGTCGCGAATAGTCTGACCACGAGTTTATCTATCGAAAAAACTCAGGGTCGAAAGGCACCCTCAGGCGAGATCTTAGAGCAATCCACTCGAGTTCTCCTGGCGATATCGCTATCCGGATATTCGTTATAATGCGTCAAATAGAAAACATTGAAGAGCGCGAGAGTGAAAGCGTTAAGTTAGCATAATGTAACGTGATAAACGTTAGTGAGAGCGATAGTGAAATCATCAATTGTATTGTAATTAATTAACGTTAATAAGATACAGAACACCAGTGGAGATATTATTAATGTTGTCTCCCTGATCTATAAGATTGATTTAAAAAATAATTTCTTTAATGTTTAAAAATGTTTAAAAATGTTTTTTTATTAATTATAATACAATGATAAATATCATATTAGAACTTACTTGGGTAAAATATCTGAACCTTGCTGCATAAGAGAACCAATAGTCAACCAAAAGGAATTTTTTAAATTGAAGTTGTTTTCGAGTTCTTCAGGATCGGTATTGCATGGATGCGGATTGTCCCACTCATCTGGTGCCATTCTTGAGAAAGAATTAAAATTTACTTGCGAAACGCAAGTCACATTTTTTTGATCTTTACTTTACTAACTTTAATATTAATTTAAGAAAAATAATTCTTATTACATTTTTTGTCAAAATTATAAAATATTTTATCTCTGAAAAATTTTACCTTGCTTGAAAAAATATTATTATTGATACACCGAGAAAAGCAGTAGCCATGTAGAACCATACTTCCTTGCTTAGAGGTAATAAAAAAGAAAAAACATCAGGTGCCTTCTCTTCTGGTTTGCTGAATATAATGCTTATACCTAAAAACAAAGTTGAATATGCTCTATCATAAATTAATATATAATAAAATGTAATTATTGTATTATTGTTCTTACAAGAAGTTTAAATTCCTTTTTTAAATCTCTTCTATAATTTATAATAAATAACAAATTATAATGATAGACTATTTTTGCATTTTTTTATTCTTTTTGATAGTATTTATATTTGTATTTACCGAGATTCATGAATGGATGACTAAAATCTACAACAGTCTTCCTTTGATGTGTTATGGTTAAATCGCATATCGCAAGATCGGCATCCTATATATAATAACGTTTAGAAATGAATGATAAATAACAGTTTACAGAAAAGTAAGGCATACTTTTTCTTATCACGATAAATAGAGAAATTCTACAAAATTGATAGTGATAAACAATTATCGTCGAAGTTAATCCCCCAATATTAAAAAAAAAAATAAAGTTTCTTTAACTTATTCGATTGTTTATCGTTTACACATGTTTGCATATTTTGAATTTTCGTTTGCACACTTCTAATTAAAAAATTATTTAAAAAACAATTTTGGGGAGGCCAACTTCACACTAGCTCCCCAACTTGGAGCAACAATCGAAAAGATTTCAATCGATTGTTTGCACATTCCGAAACAATTCGATTTTTTGTTTGCACACTTGTAGTAATTGTACTTTAAAAACAATTAAAATTTTAAAAGAGATCGACTGTAGAGGATAGGTTCAAATTGCTCAAAATGGCATGAATCGATAGATTGTCAATAGTATTTATCCGAAAATGTAATTTTTGTCGAGTGAACTCACAATTTGGCCCTCAATAATTTTTCATTAATAACTTTTAAAGGTGTACAAACGAATGCAAATGAATTCATGCCATTTTGAGCATACTAGATATAATTTGAATTTATTTGCCGCTTTCGACCCTTCTCGAAACTTTAATTGTTAATAACTTTTTAAATAAAGATATGCAAACGAAAAATCGAATTGTTTCGGAATATGCAAACGAAAATCTATCGATTGAAATCTTTTTGATCCAATTTGTTCGAAGTTGGTGACTAGTGTGAAGTTAGCCCTCCCCCCCTCCCAAATTGTTTTTTAAAAAACTTCTTAACTAGAAATGTGCAAACGGAAATTCAAAATGTGCAAACAATGAGCAATTGAATGAGCTAGAAACTTTATTTTTTTTATATTTGGGGGGCTAACTTTATGACGGTTGAACAATTGACGTAGATTTTAGATAAAAAATGAATTATTCGCATCTTTGAAAATACTACTATTAATTTGTAATATGATAGATTATTTGCTATATGTTTTTGTTTTATAAAAGAAATTGTTTTTTGTAAAAGAATTTTTTTGTTTAAAATCGATAAAATAAGCTAATAGAAATAAATTTAAAATAAACTTCCTTTGAAACATTTTACTTACCTTATCTATAATGCGTCTGATTAGACCATTCCAAGACTTTGTTTCTGGTTCATATTTGCCCTGCTTATCAGTTACGATTTCGAACTCTACTCCTTTGAAATGTAGAACTTTTGCGATTTCATTAATCAGATCGATGCAATAACCTTCATAGCGTTTTTGACCAATTAGTACTCCTCGCGTTGAACTATCGGTTACTTCCATAATGTAAGGTTCACTCTGAATCGGAGAAATTATTACATGTTTCATATCTCCAAAAATGTTTGTATAATTTAGAGTAGAAAAAGAAAGAGTGAGAGAAAGAATAGGGGAGGGAGGGGGGGGGGGAAGAGAGAAAATACTTATAGAAAAATTATATAATGTGAGGATTAATTAACGTAGGAATACAAACTTTCAATACAGTAACCCTGAATATCTTTTCTTCTATGGATTTGTATAGATAGTGTTCTTGCTCCTTTTCAGTCCGTATGATCATATTTACACCACTCGACGGTTCCCAGAAACCCATTTGTATTATAGCCGATGGGTGAAAATTTAAAATTTTTATGTTAAAATCTTGTCGACGACCGTACTCGTCAATATTTATAGTGCCCGTTATCTTTCCCTTTTTCGATAACTATGTAACAAAATATTAATTTTATTATTTTTAAAATAAAAATTTATCATTATTAAATATGAGATCTTAAATTGTATTCGAATAATTTTATTTTAATTATTAGGGTATAGGGAAAGTTTCCGCACATTTTTACAACTTTTCTTTATTAAAATAAAATAAATGATACAATGTATGTTAGTCAAAATATTTGCTATCATTTTCTATCATCTTTGTCCTTTCCTTTTAGGCAACATACGAACACTACGTTGAAAAAATTCATCATCTTTTGACACGATCCAATTATTCACCTATTTTCGAACATCTTCGGCATTGGAAAAGCGCTCACTAGATAACACGTGTTGCATCGATCTGAATAGACAGTAATCAGAAGGGACAATGTCAGGAGGTGAAATAAGCAGGGTGCGGGAGGATTTCCCATTCCAAATCCAATAACGTTTCCTTGGACTCTTTAGCAATATGGGGCCTGGCGTTATCTAAGCGCTTCTCCAATGCCGAGAATGTTCGAAAATGGATGGATGATGGCGTCAAAAAATGACAAATTTTTTTCAACGTGGTATTTGTATGCTATCTGAAAGATGCTAGAAAACATTGGCAAATATTTTGATTAACATATTATACATATTATATTAACATATTATATCATTTATTTTATTTTAATAAAGGAAAATTGTTAAAAATACGCGAAAACTTTTCCTATACCCTAATATATTTGAAGATTAGTAAAATTTGTTATTATATTAATCACATTTGATAGATCTAATATGGCATTATATTAACTTTAAAGATTTTATTTTTATAATTGTATATAAAAATGTAGGAAAGTATTTATTCATTGAATTATTTTCGTTATATGTACACGTATATCCTAAAATTTAAAATCAAATTACTACTATTTTTTTAGTATATAAGAAATTTAATAATATAGGAAAATCTCTTACCTCTCGCATAATGCTGGTAATATTAGGTCCTACTTGGTACTTTGTAGTATTATTACAAAAAAGTGGTATAGGATCAATATATTCTTCATTATCATTTCTTGCATTTAAAGTCTCTAATGCTTTATATAATAAAAATACTGCGTCATAGAGAACTGCTGAATCCAACTACATAAAATCGCCAACAATTTAGACAATTAACTTATATCATTCCATATAAATATTCTATTTTAAATATTTTATCTTAAATTCAATAAGAGAATAAACTTTTGATTAATAAATTTGGAAAATTTGGAGGGATTTATTAATATTTTAGATCGATTGCGTTGAAAGTCCGACAATACCATATCGGCATGCAATTATCATTTCTGAAATTAATTCATTTATATGAATATATATAATAGTTCAACATTCATCGTAGTGGCGCTTCGTATTTAAAATAATGTATTTAACATAAATGGTCTTGTTTCCAATCTTATATTGTATAAACTTTTGAGTTAACTATGTTATAATTAATATATTACACTTATTGCTGATAAAAAAATGGAGATTCTTGAATAAATACCGAATCAATTCCCTCTACATCATTCTCTCTTATGCTCAGTCCAGTGATATTGACGGTACCATTTTGCTTCTCAATAGGTAGCTTGGATGAATCCTACAATTTCAATGGAAAGATTATTTCATAAACTGTTTATGCGCTATTTTCTAGCAATGGGAAATGCACAAAAATAATATACAATATTATATATTTTTTATCTTATATTCTATTTAATTTTTCTTACATATTTAATTTTAATAGTTTAATTCATAGTTTTTTAAACACTAATCTTTTCACTGGAAAATATGTAATAAACATCATGTTTGAAAGTATCGTTTTGTTAACTAATATGATAATTGTTAAGTAAATAAGTATAAATATAAATAAAATAGATTATACCATATATGTTAACACAAAATGGCAATAATCTGCTAATAATCTGACTTCCTTTGCTTGGTTGAGCACACGTATGATATTTTCCGGCTTGACATCAATAATTACATTGCACGACAAAAAACGTATCTCTTTAAGCATCGTATGATAATTTGACCCTTTGTTCAATTGTCGTACTGTGTGTAAAATTGGATTTTCTTTGTCTCCTTTTAGAGTCAAAGTCTTCTGAAGGCGCGATAGTCCCTCGTCAGTTTCGTAAATCGCTGCGAAATTTCGCCATTTCATTGATTCGATAACATCAGCGATTGCCTACAGTTTTGTTGATTAATACGTTACAAAAATAATAATTGTATTTTAATTCAACGATATCAAAATTACGATTTAATTTGCATCTTAGAATTGTAGACTACGTTCGATTTAATTAATTAGATGTATTAATAAGATTAGACCTAAAAATCATCGCGTAAACTAATATATTGAATTATTACTTGCATTGTTAAACATCTTTTTCAAATTTTGCGATTTACTATAGCGTATAAAACAAAATCGATTTTCAGTTGGGAAGCACTTTTTTATAATATAGTTTATTTATATAGCGACTGACCTGGCTGACTTTCTCATTGGCAGGGAATATATTTATGGTCATTGGCGATAGAATCTTGTTTTTTTTATTTTTCTTTATTAATTCTTCGGTTTCCCGCCAAACATATTCGATGTGCGGTATATCAAATCGAGCTGCAATACTTGCAACTATACCACGAGTATACCTGCTTGTAGGTCCAAAAATAGCTGCTACTCCTTTCTCAAGAAGTTTGCAAGCTATATATATATATAT